ACGTGCCGGCACTTGAGTCGAAGTACGGGTGATTGCTGAACTTTCCCTGCGAGTTTTTTTTCCAAAACAAATAAGTAAAGGGAAGTTTGAATTATTTAGAATCTGAACTTTCTAACATAAACAGACACACACACACACACACACACACACATATATATATATACACACACACACATATGTACATATATACATGTATATATATACACACATGTGTTTATATATATATGTGTGCGTATTTATGCATATATATATATATATATATATATATATATATATATATATATATATATATATATATATATATATATGCACACATACAGCTATGTTTGCATGTACACTATTATACTTATAATCATCGAGTCTCACTATGAGAAGATGTCTTGTCATGTTACCGTGCACGTCACCTGTGCTTCCAAAGTGTAAAGCTTGATTTTTTTTCCATGCATCTAAGATTTTTTCGCTTTATTTGTTTAAATGATTTTACACAGTATACTGAATTTTTAAAATATTACTGCAATATCAATATGTTTTCTACATATCTAATTCAAATAACATTATGAGATATTTCATGTATAATCCAAAGTATCTACATGGATTGTATTTATAAGCATATGTTCAATTCTTAGGCCGTATTTTCTGTAAAATTAGATACATCTTTGAAATAAGATAAAGTCGGCTTTGAAAATAGCTGAAGATAAGGTGAAGTCCATGCGGACCATGCACGTAATATACAAACCGGTGTATATTTGGATGAAAACCTAAGAAATAGCAAGATAATTACACCCAAATAAACAAAACACCCAGTATACGAAGAAAGACCAACCAAGACCTTTGGAAAGCCGTAATAGAGGTGGGGGAAAGGCCTGTCCGCTCCTTGCGCATGGCTCGCCTCGTGCTTTCCAGCCGACCAATCGCCCCTCGCCAGTTGCCACCGGCGGCCGAGCGTCAGTTTGTTTACATCCCGCGAGAGCAGAGGTTCCGACGCCCCGATGACACCTGAGGGGATCGCCGCCTTCTATCTCTGAGTTTGGTCTTGAATCCCCCCTCGGGAGACGGCGAGAAAGGAGAGCGTGGTGGTCGTCAGGGCTTCCGGGGACTTTTCATGTAGGGGCTTTCGGAAGAAGAGGAGGAGGTCGCCCCGTTTTTCTCTCCATAGGAATCACAAGTCTTATTTATTTATTTCCTCTCCCCCCCTCCCGTTCCTCTGAGGTGTTGAAGGGACAGAATGGTTCGGATACAGGTGAAGACTGCCACAGGGGTGTCAAGTCCCCTGGGGGTGAAGAGCCTGCTGGTGTTCACGGTGCTGCTGCTGGCGTGGCTGGCGGGGTTCCTGTCCAGGCTCTTCGCGGTGATAAGGTTCGAGAGCATCATCCATGAGTTCGACCCCTGGTGAGTATAGGCGCCCTAGCGACGGGGCTGAGTGCTTGGGGCTTGAGTGGAGTGGTGGCCTTCTGCTAGGGGAGTTTCGGGTGTGTTTGTGGGTCATTCAGTATTGCATTTGTAAGGCTCTGAGGGGTTGAAGGGGGTTGTGTTTCACTGACAGCTGTTGAGAAGTTGAAATTAGTATTGAATGAAGACGAGTCCAGATTTGTGATGTTTATGTTTATTAGGCACAGGTTAATGTCATTGTGTTTGTTGGTATGGTTTCAAGTTTTAGAGTTTACAACAGGGTTACATCATTAGAAATGTAGTCCCTAAACGGTTAATGTAACCGAGAGTGATGTACAGAAATAGAGGGAAATGGACACTAATATCTTATAGAAAATAAGAACTAGAATAAAAAGCAACACAGGTACAGCTGCTTCGGTCTCATTTATACCGCTAAATTGTGAAAATATCTGCAGCATGTTACTGCACAGAGACTAAATCCACAATACCCTCACACAGCCAAATTTCTTAATGTTGCTTTTTCTGCAAGTTGACACAAAGTGTTAGTAAAAGGAGGTCCAGGGGGGCTTCCCCCCCTGTCAGGAGAATAAATAGAAGGTAGGTCTAGGTTTTAGGGTTTGCACAATACCCTGGTTTTTGGACTTCATCTCTGGAGGGTGTGTTGATCTTGGTAACAAATACCCCTAAATTAAATGAATATAACCATATCCTGAATGCACAGAGTACCACAAAGATTACTGTATAAATCAAAAACCTAATCTGGGGATATGCTCCAGGGCCCTTATCATACATCCCCTGCATTATCCGATATTAGTTTTTGACAAAACGTAACACATATTGCACATTGCTAATATGAAAAAGGTTAATTATTTAGTTTCACACAGCCTACCTGCTGTGTAGTTATTGTTCATTACAAATATTCGTGGTATAACATAAGTGAAACTTGTGTTTTCCATTGCAAGTGATGTACAGGAATGATTTCACCCGTGGAGATCCACAGATATTGCTTTATGAAACCAAAACCTACCTGATCCTGAGACTTAACCCATTGCTGCTGGGGAAAATAAAAAAAAAAATGGGGAAAATGCCGTGCTCATTTTTTATATTTTTTTTGTGAAATCTCTCTACACATAGATGGCTCTGCTAGTGCTTAGCCTTACCTGATTTCACCTTTCCATGAATTAGTGGGAAAATGTATTTTTAACCAGTGCTATGAATATCAATGGTGTTATTTTCATTATAAACATTATAATTACTATAATGTAATAAACATTAGCAATAGCAAAATAAGATAATGTAAAATATTTTCGTAAATTAAAGAAAAGGGTAAACGGACAAGACAGGCAATACTCATAATTGGCTCATTGGTGACTTAGTACAAGTGTAGTCATCTATGTGTAAAAACAATTAAACAAGTAAACTCACAGTGGGCATGGCATGGCATACCTTCGACCTCCACCCAGTTGCTGTGGATTTACCATTAGTGTGGCATTTTTCGAGATCCGCATTTTCTATTTTTGGTGCTATTCTTTACATCAATGAGAGTACTTTTTCTTTTCTTCATGATACTGTATGGTTTGGTGATATTGAAACTATATCTTAGTAGACGAGGATATGGGTTATACTCAGAGCCAGATTATCCTATATGCTAGTATGGGCTGCAGCCTAGTGCCCCTCAAGCTTGGGGGCCCCAAGCTTGAGTGGCTTGGTTATAAAAAACTTTTTTTTTTTTTTTCACTAAGTTTTGTGTTGAAATATAGTAAAATAGTGGTATTTAAAGAACATTTTTATTGACAAAGAAAAGATAGCTATGCTAGTTTATTTAAAGAATTTGCACTAAGTTTACTTCATGCTATGTAAATGTCGCTAAAATATATCACAAGTAAAAAATATTCTGAGGGGGCCCCATAATTTTATTAGCCTAGGGGCCCCAAAAGGTCATAATCTGGCCCTGGATATACTAGGAAATTTTTCAATGAAATGTATTTGATACTAGCGTGAGCTGATAACAGCTGCCATAACAATGGCATGTAATTAGGCAATTGCATCAACCTGCACCATATCAGCAAAGCCAGGTAAAATGTCTACTGTATATTTTTTATGAAGATGGAGAGTAAATTTCTAGAACCAATATGCATCTTAAAACTCTTCAAATTGGTATCAGTGAACAGGATTTACTAACCAAATGTAGCGAAAATAATTAGCATAATATACAAACACTATATTAATATCCAAAAACTCTGATTACCTGTACAGAAGCTTGAAACAGAGTGTGGGCGAGGTATATTCATCTCTGCCTCGGCTGTGTTGTGATGTTGCTCATGAGTTATATCACTTGGACCTGTTAGGGATATATTTTGCTGGTCAGATGTAATGATTTTATATTCCAGTCAGGGTTAGGGGACAGCAGCCTTCCCATGAGGGGAGTTTTAGAAGACACAGCCCCCTAATAATGACAAAAATACCACATCATCTAACTCTTCCACTTATGATGATACCTTATCCTTTCCCCACATGGGTCTTGTATTATTATAAATGCATACTAGATATCATGAGGAATCTATCAATATAAAAATTTTGGGTTTTAAGATTCTAGAAAATTACCAGATGGAGCTTGGGACTGGTTTTCTACTAGAAAATGCTAGAAAGGGACACTGCATCCAATGTGTCAGAACATAGATATTGAAGTTTTGTCGGCTTAACGCTAGAAGACAAAGATGCGTAGACTACAGCAATCGCTTGAGTCCATGCTATTCCCAGTAGTTTTCTGTGGACTAAAACTACCATACCTGGACAGTATATATCATTATCAAGTTTCAAAACATTTTCTTGGATAATCTTTATGGTAGCTTCACAGCAAGAAAACATTAGAATGACAGTGATGTAATATGAAATATACATGAATGTACAATAACAAAACATCCATTGCTACTTTTGAATATATGATTAGCCAAAACATGAAACAATGGTGACAAGTGGCTGAGTCCCTGAACCCTGTCTGGCATTGCAGAGCCAATCTGTATGTTAACCCATTGCCGCCAGGGAAAATGAACAAAAAATGGGGAAAATACTGTACTCATTTTTTATATTTTTGTGAAATATCTCTGCCCATAGATGGCTCTGTTAGTCGTGATTTCACCTTTCCTTAAATTGGCGGGAAAAAAACGTATTCTTACTAGTGCTATAAATATAGATGGTGTTATTTTTAACAGCAAATTAGGATAACGTTAAATATTTTCGTAAATCGATGAAAAGGGCGAACAGGCGAGACAAGCAGTACTCGAATTGGGTCATTGGATACTTAGTACAAGTGTAGCCATCTATGTGTAAAAACAATCGAACAAGTCGACTCAAAGTGGGCATGGCATGTACGTACATGCCATCCCCGGCGGCAATGGGTTAATACTGCTTAAAATGTCTTTTTGCTTACACTCATGTAAGTTATCATCAGTCTTATGGAAATGTCCACATTTTTTCCCAATTTAAAATATTACAATACCTGATTTTTTTTGTTGTTGTTGTTGTAGGAGCTCTTGAATCTATGACAGCATTCACCTGAGGAAAAGTTTTGCAATTACTGTTGCATCAGTGCTTTTGTCACTCTAGGAAAGATCAGAAAGCCTTCTTGTCTATAAGTTCTTGTCTTAGCAGATTAGATTAAGTTGGGCATAAAGTTATTTCCATCATTCTTTCTTGGTGTTGCATAGATTTTGCATCATCTGTTATTGATAAAAGCCACACCTAAATGATATGTTTTATTGAGTTATATTAACCAGATAAAGATTACTTACTGTATGGTAAAGATGATAAGGAAGTGTAACAGGTTAATAGGAAAGAAGTACAGCATCATTTTGTCCTTTCTTTTGGGTTTGGGTTGTGTATTAACAGTTCTTGCTCTTTTGGATATTCAAAAGATATTCTAAGCTCAAAAAATTACAAATTAAGGTGATCCTTGTTAACAAAGTATATATATACTCAGTCAGTCTATATAAGGTACTGAGACTAGAGAATGTTCAAACATAGGGTGTTATCATAATTTTATAATGAATTTTGAATCAGATATGCTTATTTTAATTATACTTTTATCTCTCAAAAGAAAATAGTCTGAGAATTATAACGCATACCCACTAAGGCTACAACTAAAATCTGGTAAACTAAACAACCACGTTGCTAATGTTTGGCAATTGATATACCAGATCCATCATTCAAAGACCTCAAGAAATAATGTGTTCTTTTTTAGCACAAGTTCATACTTTATATGTAGTACAATGCATACTTTTGTTGACTACATACAAGAGGGCACTTTGTATAGATCACTTGCGCAGAAATAAATAAAAGATGATTCATTGTCATCCCTGATGATACCAATTTTGGAAGGGATTTGATGCTTTTACAAACATCATTACTAATATGAAAAACATTTTGCTTTTGTGCATTCATATCAAAACACTCAAAAAAAATAAGATGCATATTTTATCTTTATTTTGAAATATGTGAAATTATTGTATAATGATGACTCTTTTTTTTTTTCCTACAGGTTTAATTACAGAGCAACAGCTCATATGGTCAAACATGGATACTACAACTTCCTCAATTGGTTTGACGAGAGAGCTTGGTATCCTCTTGGAAGAATTGTAGGAGGCACAGTATACCCAGGCTTGATGGTCACCTCGGGAAGCATACACTACATACTTAATATGCTTAACATACCTGTACATATTCGTGACATCTGTGTTTTCTTAGCACCAATTTTCAGGTGAGATACTAATGCTCTGTTATATTCCTATAAACTTATCATTTGTGTCTGTGGTTGTGTAGGAGAAATTGGGTGATTGTTGGAAAAGTATCAGTAGGAGTTAGTGGTTGAATTATTTGTACCATATGTGATCAGCTGTTCTTGATAGTCCTTGTACTATTTTTTTTGTGTAAACCTTTTCTCACAGTGGTATATTTTGATCCATTTATAGACATTTAGACATTTATTTCTCACAAGATTCAGATTATCTGTTATAGATTATTTATATAAAGATAATCACTACACTTTACAATAGGTATACTTTACCTCAGAAAAATCAGATTTACCATCATAAATAGTTTAAATTCTAGATGGAATGATAATGCTATGGTTTTAGTAATTCTTATCCCATTTCTGGTGGTAAACTTATTTCTTATTTGTTTATTTATTTATTAATTTATTTATATTTTTTTCATTTATTCCCTCATCCTCAGAATAATGTTTTGAAAAGTGATTTTTTGTATTTTTTTATTGTTTATTTTATTTTTAAGAAAAAAGATGTTGAAAAACTATAGCAACATTTTAACAAGTAAAGCATTATTTCCTACCTTTTTTCCCATCATCTTCACATATAGAATGCAGTGGGATAGAACATGCACCAACAAGATTTAAAGGAAAAATGGGTTTAGGAAACTCGCTTGGTCTCGGTTTGAATATAGACACAATAGTAAAAAAAAATCTTTAAACCACAATAGTCTTCTTGATGATTTTATCAATTTTGTTGATCCCCTTCTACCATATAGTAATGGTCCCTGTAATAAAAGATGTAGACTTTCTTTTTACTGATTAATTGCTGAAGGTCTGAAGAAATTGTGCATTTTACATTTTAAATGTATAATGAATTTTTCTCTATTATATATTTATTTATTATTTATTTTTTTTACAGTGGTTTGACAGCTATTGCTACTTATTTGTTGACTAAAGAAATTTGGTCATCAGGAGCTGGCTTGTTTGCTGCTTGTTTCATAGCTGTAGTTCCTGGATACATCAGTCGGTCCGTAGCAGGAAGTTACGATAATGAAGGCATTGCTATCTTTGCTCTGATGTTCACCTATTTCCTTTGGGTCAGTGCAGTGGCATTGTGCATTGTTCGCATTGGTTGCATAGTTTTTGAAAAATGATTACGTGAAATTGTGCTTTAGGATTGTCTTTTTCAAAGGAGTGCATGTTCTAAGCATATTGGATTTGACAGGTAAAATCAGTGAAGACCGGAAGTTTGTTTTGGGCATCGATGGCATCCCTGTCGTACTTTTACATGGTGAGCGCATGGGGTGGCTACGTATACATCATTAACCTCATCCCCCTGCACGTTTTTGCCCTGTTGCTCATGGGTCGTTTCTCTCATCGCATCTACACAGCCTACACAACTTTCTACATCCTGGGGCTGATTTGTTCCATGCAGATTCCTTTTGTTGGTTTCCAGCCAATAAGAACCTCTGAACATATGGCAGCAGCTGGTAAGTATTTACAAGCAGTCTTGTTTCTGTTTCCGTTAAATGAAGAAATTGGGAATCATAATTGTTCATGATAGATTATTAGAAATTTTTTGATATACTGCAATTATTTGTTGATGCAAAAATATTTGCGTGATCCCAGATTTATGATATGTGCAAGCATGAATTTGATATTGGTACAGAAAGTATCTGTGATAGGATTACTCAGCTATGCAGAGCAAAGCTTTTTCCTGGGGTGTCATAATTCTTCACTAAGGAATTTAATTTTTTCCGTAGGTGTGTTTGCCCTCTTGAATGCTGTTGCTGTATTAAAGTACATGCAGAGTGTCATGTCAAGAGCCGAATTCCGTCATTTCTTCATAGTAGCCGCCGGGAGTGCTGCAGGTGTTGTATTCCTGGCAGTTGTGGGCCTTACCTGGATGGGTGTCATTGCCCCTTGGAGTGGCAGGTTTGCATTGGATCTTTTGGAGTTGGTGACTTTTTATAAAGAAAAGAGTAGATTTTTTTTTCATAAAAGTGTGTAGAAACATAACTGTAGTAAAAAGGCATTTGTTCTGTATTTTAATACAAAACATTCCTAAACTATTTGTTTGTATGGCGATAACCTGAGATGACATAAATATTTAATAAATGTGAAAATGTTATTGCATGCACAAAACTAGTAATACATCTCAATCTAAACAATTCCATGCAGGTTTTATTCCTTGTGGGACACTGGATACGCAAAAATCCATATCCCCATCATTGCTTCGGTCTCAGAACACCAGCCTACTACGTGGTTCAGTTTCTTCTTTGATTTGCACATCTTAGTCGCTACCTTCCCAGTTGGTCTGTGGTATTGCATCAAGAACGTGAATGATGAGAGAGTGTTCAGTAAGTTTTGTTTTTAGTAGTATTGTATTGGTTTTCATTTTCTTAGTCTGGTCTTTTATTTTCACCATCGGATTTTCTTCCGTTTAGTCTTGTAATTCTGCTTTCATTCTACTTCTTTCCTCCTCTGCCTCCTCCACCCCCTCCCTCTTATCTCCCCCATCTTCTCTCCTGTCCTTCTCTCTTTCCCTTATGCCTCTCTCCCTCCCTCTCTCCCTTCTCCCTTCCTCCCTCCTGTCCTCCTTCCCTTTCTTTCCCCCTTTTCCTTCTCCTCCCCTATCTCTCTCTCTCTCTCTCTCTCTCTCTCTCTCTCTCTCTCTCTCTCTCTCTCTCTCTCTCTCTCTCTCTCTCTCTCTCTCCTCTCTCCCTCTCTCCCTCCCTCTCCCCCCCCCTCCCTCTCTCTCTCTCTCCCCCCCTCCCCCTCCCTCTCTCTCCCTCTCCCTCCCCCCCTCCCTCTCTCTCTCTCCCTCCCCCCCTCCCCTCTCTCTCTCTCTCTCCCCCCCTCCCTCTCTCTCCCTCTCCCCCCTCCCTCTCTCTCCCTCCACATTTTCCTCATCCTCCCTTCTTATTTAAATACTGAGAGGAACAATCAAGTTTCTCACATTCTCGTCTGCCTTCCTCTTCCTCCTTCCTTACTACTTCCTCTCCTTTCCCCCCCCCCATCCTCTTCTTCTTCTTCCTCCTCCTCCTCCCCCTCTTTTTAAGAATAATTTGTATTACATTTCACACTGATTTTGATAAACCATTACTACATAAAGATACATGTCTTACTTTATTTATACACTTAAATGGTGGTTCATATAATTTTTCAATAATGTTAATATTACTATGTGGCTGATGCTGTTCTTGCATTGGGCATTTTTCTAACCAGAGCTTTTTACACATTAAATTTTTGAAAACGTTGCAGTTGTCTTGTTTGCTGTGAGTGCCGTCTACTTTGCTGGTGTGATGGTCCGTCTGATGCTGACACTTACGCCAGTCGTCTGTGTTCTGGGAGGGATTGCCTTCTCCAGACTCTTTGAGGTGTACTTGAAGGTGAGTGTTTTGTTTTGTTTTGATTTATTGGTAGTGAGAAGTTAGGTTTTTTGTTGCGATTTATAGCTGTGGAGAACTTTGTAAGAGTTCCTGTGGAGTATATGTTATGTTTGATATTATAGGACAATTTTTTTGGATATTTTCACTTATTATTCTTATACATTTTTTTTTTTTTTTCTTTTTCTTTTTTTCTTTTTTTCTTTTAACATCAGTAGATAAATGTTAATGCGTTATTGATTTTTCTTACTTGTGTTATGTATTTTTAAGATCTAATTATTCTATTTTTCTATTTCTTTGATTTTTTTTTCCTTATTTTTTCTTACTTCCTTTTTTTGAGAAAATTATGGAAAGAATGTTTTTCTTCACTTCAGGAGGAGGAGCAGTCAAGACCTCAAAGCAAAGACTCCAGTGATGATGATGAAGATGGGGAGAAGAATAACAAATATGACAAAGCTGG